TTTTTTTTGTTACTCTGTGAAAGGAGGGTGGAAGGATTCTTATTAGGGAAAATACATGAGTGTAGTAAAGGTCCACTTTAAGAATAGGTTCACACCTATGCAGTTTGTGTTTGATCTGTTTCTGCAGTGCATTTTGCATTTTTTGCCATATGTTTTTTAAGTGGTTTTGCCACGTTTTTGATGTGTTTTTTTCCTTGTTGCTAGGCAGATTAATACTCATCAAAAATGGATCAAAAACGCAGGAAAAACGCTTTTAAGCAGCGTCTCCATTGAAGTTTATAGAACCAAAAACGCAACCTTTTGCATTTAAAAAAGTCCCTGACCCTTTCCAAAAAACGCACCAGGTGAAAATGTGGAGATGTGACGTGTCCCATAGGAAATCATGTTAAATGGACTGTAGTGCGTTTCTGCAAAACGCTACGGAAAACGCTTAGGTGTGAACCTAGGGTGAGTCAATACTCGATAATAAGTGTTTAGATACAAACATCTGACCTCTCCTTTTGCTATCCCATTTTTGTATATTTGCACTATGTCAGCATCTCTGAAAGTATCTTAGCAAAAGACAACCAAGGAAATATATTCAAAAAGGAGATCAGAAATGGCATCCCTTATAAAAAATTGCTGACAGGTAGGCGTTTATGGCAGAACAGACTAGTGATGTCTTTTCTGCCATAAAATCTTTGCCTGGTTTTTGCACAGTTCAGTGTACAGTGCCAGGTGCTACGATTAAGCAACTCTTGTGCACAAAGGTAGATAGTATGTCTTCCATGGCAGACCAATAGAGAGAAGACACTGGAAGAACAACTTGGGAACGACATCAAGTGGGGGGTCACAGACATCGCATCTCTGGAGAAGGGCTCATTGGGTGGTAAGGGGACCATAATGTACCAGTATATTGTGCATACTTACTGTATATGTTATGAGAAGACCCATGGGGACCACAAGTAAGTTTGGTTCCAATTTAAAATATTAAGGGTCAGTTCACACCTGAATCACACAGGAACATGATCCGCGTTCCTGTGTGATTCCTATGTGACTCAGTGCAGGGCAATTTTTAGCCTATTCATTTGAATGGGCTGAAATTATACTGGATCGCACCAAAAATATTTCAATATTTTTTATTGTTTTGCAGATGATGGACAAAGAACCCTTTTCCATAAACAAGCCTGTTTGCAATTTTGCCATACAAAACAGAGAACAGACATTGCCATAAAAAAAAAAAAGAAATATGCCCCATCCATCATATGGCTGAGCACAACTTAAGAGTACATTCCATGATGACTCAAGAATAATTAGGTATCCTAATAGAGGGTGTATGCACTACTTTTCAAAAACACACTACACCAGATTGCTTGGTATTGCGATACCATGCGATCCGCTGCAGGCAAATGTACTGCTTTGCAATCTGCATATGGGGTGTCGTTAGCTAACACCCACAGCAGATCGCACACCCAGTGCATTTTGAACTGGGTGCGAGAAAAAACACATGAAACGTGTTTTTTTGCACCACATTCTGAGCCCTAAAATCATGAAGTTGTTAGAGTTCGCATCTTGACTCTCATATCCTAGAACTAGCACTATTATGCTGGATGCTAATCACCGGATATGTTTGTTTTATCTCATCCCCTGTCACCAATAAGTAAAATATGTCTTTGTTGTTACAAAACACAAGCAATGACAGCAATGGTACACTGGGTTGCATTAGAAAAACAGATAAAATTCCTAAATAATAAAACACCGCGGCCACTTGGGCTTTTAATAAATGTAAATATTTACTCTGAACAAGAATCCAGCTGAAAAGATGTGAAAGCATTTTTTTTTTGGCTGAAAATGTTCTTTCCAATTAAGTTCTTTGCAAGCTGTGTTGTAAATCTTTAAGTCAAGGCACACATGAGTGCATTTTATTTTACACCTTAGTAACTGGAGATACATAGGGATTTTTTTTTTCTACAAATGTTCCTTCTTTACCGGCAGAGGAAAACTGGAAACAACTGCTACAAAGGAGGGAAAAAAAAAACAACAAATAAATATTTAATATGTCAGCACCTGCTACGTAGTTTCTGGGTATTACACTCTTGTCCATAGTGGCTTCTATTCTAACCAACTTCATTAAAGAATAAAAGGAAAGTAATAAGTCATTTCACACCCCGTGTGACCATTATACAATAATAGCGAGATTTCGTGCAAGGGTATAACATTGTGCCCATCACAGTCTCTTTGCAAAAATCTCAATTCACACTTCACATGCAGCTAACCTTGTTACTATCTCCTTACAAACCCATCAGTATTGCAGCTGCACGTCTTCACAGTCTAACATCTTAAAATTCATCCCTTTGGCACCTTTGCATCACTACGGGGTCAAGAAATAGCATCCAGCCAAGAATAATTAAGGGGCACCCAGATGTTTGGTTTACTCTCCTTAAGTCTTTTCGGAAAATACTTAATTGGTCCTGTATTGTTTCCCCATGCCAGAAAGATTCATGTCAGGTGAACAACAACCAGTGCCTAGTGCCTGCTATCTGTAGACTGCTTTGTAGTTGAGACTTGAACAAGAGGCGTGATAATGAGTATGTTGGAGGAAGAGAAGGTGTTATCTCATTAAGGTAATGACTAAGATATGTCCACCATTACATCAGTTTGAAAATGTGGCAATTAAAGCCCCCTAACATGCTCTCCTGTAGACAAGGGAATAAGGCAATTCTCTAGGAACCTCTATGTTGGGTTAATACGTGTCATGTAAATGAATGGGTAGCATAATGCTATTTAATTCTCAACCACAGGCTTGTCTCCCCTTTTGTTCTTGGATCACTGTCATTATTATTGTAACAAGGGCTTATTTATATAATGCCAATAGTCTGCAAAGCAGTATATAAATGATGGGGGACCAGCAAAAAGGATAGAAATTATTCTATAGATGATGAAGGAGGAAAAGGACCCTCTAATACCTATGTGTGAAACTAGTCAGAACTTCAAAAGGTCTGCCAAAATACATTTTTCCAAACCTAGTATTGCTAGGAATGAAATAGACTAAACAAGATTATACTGAGAAGCATATATCAGTTTTTGGAAACTGGGGTTCTAGGAAACTGTATGCTAACCACTGAGTCGGCCTACCAACAAAAAAATACTTCTCTCTTTGGTTTAAGAAAAAAATTACATTTGGGCTAATCTACAAAAAGAGTTGATAATCTGCACTCAAGAAATGTGTGAATATTCACTTCAATTATCCAGTCATGTGAAAAGCATCTGCACGTAATTGAGTATTCAAATGAAACAGGAATTTGCATTTCACATGACTGGACAGAGATCAGTTTTGTTTCCGATCTTGTTGAGTCTATATTCACACACTTTTTAATTGAATATGTCCAGCTCCTTTAGGGCACCTTCACACAGGTGGCCAGGGGGGCAGTAAAAACAGACGGCAAACATTACAGCCTGACAGGGCTGTACACATGCCAGGGCCACCATGCTTTGACTCACGGCCACAGGAGTTTTCACTCTACGCCGCCTGTCAAACATACTTATTGAGATCAAACACTTGGCTAGCAGCTGTGGCAGGGTTCTGCAATGTAAAATCGCCATTTGGCATTTTAAAAAAGTAAAACAAAATAGATGTCAGGAGGCAGCAGTAGTGCCTCCTGAACGTCTGATATCTGCTGATATACTGCCCTCTGTAAAGCAACCTATCTATAACTATAGTTATAGAGTCCTATCTAGGGAAGGAAATACAAAGTTTATAACTGAAGAGTTAAAATAAATCCTTGCTGTGCCCATTAAGTGACATTCATATTCCTCCCCAGCATTGTTACCTTTCCTTCTCTCTTGGGCCATTTTGTTCAGGGCCAGGTGCCAAAGGAAATATAAGGTGACTCAAGTGAAACTTTAAAGTAAACCATCCAAAAAATAAATAAAAGGGTTGTTATTGCTTCCTAAATTGCTAATTAACATGGCTGTTACACATACCCTTTAACATCAATACACACATTGATCCCGAGCAAATAAGCAGATCAGGGAAGTCAGGGCAAAGTAAGAAGTCCTCCATACCATACTTGTTCTGGCTTAGTGGTTCAACATTTTAAGGCTGTTCTGTAGTCCCTTTTGCCAGCCATTACATAATTATTGGGTTCAGCAGTGACATAGTGTCTGGTGGATGACACCACAAAGTGTAGCCTGGGACTCTGGCATCCAACCCTACTTAGAGATTTTTCCACAACATTCTTTCAACAACACAGTGGATTTTGGCAGTGCAAACATCAGGACAGGTAAGCATCAGTTGCTTGCGTTGCAGAGATGATGTTTTTCTTTTTTTTAATATAGCAACAAAGTTTCTTTAACTACTTGCCTTCCAGAGGATTTACCCCCTTTCCTGGCCAGGCCATTTTTTGCGATACGGCACTGAGTTACTTTAACTGACAATTGCGCAGTCATGCAATGCTGCACCCAAATTAAATTTACATCCTTTCCTTCCCCCCACAAATAGAGCTTTCTTTTGGTGGTATTTGATCACCTGTGCGTTTTTTTTTTTTTGCATTATAAAAAAAAAAAAACAATTTTGAAAAAAAAACAATATTTTTGACTTTTTTTGCCATAAAACATATCCAGTAAAAAAAAATGTAAAAAATCAAATTTCATCATAAATTTATTCTGCTGCATGTCTTTACTAAAAAAAAATTCCAATACATGCAAATTAAATAGTCTATGTCAGGGGTGGGCAACTGTGGCCCTCCAGCTGTTGGTGAACTACAAGTCCCATCATGCCTCTGCCTTTGGGAGTCAGGCTTGTAACTGCCAGTTTTGCAATGTCTCATGGGACGTGTAGTTCTACAACAGCTGGAGGGCCACAGTTGCCCACCCCTAGCCTATTTGAAAGTTATTGCGTCTACAAATGGCGGTATATATACTGGAATTGTTATTTTTTTTATGCTAGTAAAGCAACGATCAGCTACTTATAGCGGGACAGCGGGACAGTGGCAGGCATTCTGACACTGGGTGGGAACTGACAAACTGCCACTGACATCCCCAGTGACACTAATACAGTGAGCAATGCTAATAAAAAGCACTGACACTGTACTAATGACACTGGGCAGGAAGGGGGTTAACATTTGGGGCAATCAAAGGGTTAACTGTGCGCTGAGTGCTGTTTTACTATGTGTGCTGTGTGTGTTTTACTTGGAAAACATGCTTCTGTATATTTCTCTGCTGTGCAGAGAAATATACAGCAGCATGTTATTGCTAGCAGGAGAGAGACCTGTGTTGTTTACACACAGGTCTCTCCCCTGTCAATGTTTCTCAGGCGGAGACTCTCCAGCCGGGACCCGGTGATTGACACCCGTAACCACTAATGGCGGCACGGGTAGGGCGGCTACAGATGTCAATGGGTGCCCCTACCCGGAAATGCAAATCAAGTATACTGTATATACATGACTTTACACAGCCCTGCCGCCCTGTAGCAGTATTTCTGCTATAGGGTGGAGGGCAACTGGTCAAGATCAACATTTACTAGCAGATTGATCAGAACAGGAATTTTTTTTCAGCCTGAACTCGCCAGTATTCCATACTGGCACCTCTGCCACAGGTCCTGGCTGTACATGTACTGGCAGCAGGGGTGCTCCCTAAAATGTTCTGATGCCCCAAACAGCAGTTGACATACAGAGTTTCTTTTTTTACTTTAACTTTTTTTTTTTACTTTCAATTGCAGTGAAATAGTGCAGATCTGCAGTCAGGCTGTGGAGTAATCCAACAATTTCCATAGTTCCAGAATCCAGAATAGAACTATGACAAGTGGAGTGATATCATATGCCAATCTGTAGTCAGAGTGGAAATGATGTTTGTAGTTGCCTGCAAATGCAGCATGCTCTGCTTGCCACAGCCTCTTCACTAGTACAGAAAAATGAGCAGGAGCAGATCCGAGCCCAAGTGAGTTGAGTTACAGGTGAAACTCTCAATGCAGAAGAGCTGAAGGCCGCTATTGAAGCATCCTGGTCTTCCATAACACCTCAACAGTACCACAGGCTGATAGCTTCCATGCCACACCACATTGAGGCAGTAATTGCTGCAAAAGGGGCCCAAACCAAGTACTGAGTACATATGCATGCTTATACTTTTCAGAGGTCCGATATTGTTCTCCTTGTTTTATTGATTGCATGTAATATTCAAATTTTCTGAGATTGTGGATTTGGGGTTTTCATGAGCTGTAAGCCATAATCATCACAATTCTGACAAATCACGGCTTGAAAACTATCTTGCTTTGCATGTTACGAGTCTATCTCATATATTAGTTTCACCTTTTAAGTTGCATTACTGAATTAAAAGAACTTTTGCACAATATTCTAATTTTTTTCGAGTTTCACCTGTATATGCAGCTGAGTGCCAACAACTTGGCACATTGACCTGCATCGGCACTGCACAGTAGCCATATTGGCATTATCTGTCAGTGTGTGTGGGTGTGTCCATTCAGCAGCAGCCCACTCACATGCTTTCCAAGAGTAAATCTCGGAATAGTCTGTTGGTCCTGTGGGGCCACGCTAGCTGCTAACAGCTCCTAGGACAGGTGAATGCAATTAAATAGATAGACAGCCTAATGCCCCTACACACGATAAGAAAATCGTATGAAAAATTTCACGGAACCACCGATCGAACAATTTTCTCTTCGCTGATAGCAGGATGTTTTAACCGATCGAACAAAACGGATTTTGTGAACAAAAAAATCCGGTTGAACAACATGAAAAAAGTTTGTCATTTCGCATACGAATGACCGATTTTCTATGCGGTGGTATGACGGTCGTATAAGCGAAAAAAATCTATCAAGTGCTATCACGAATGAGCGGAAACAGAAGATGACCCAGATGTTTATGTCCAAGGAATCTTCGTAAACACGAACGAAAAATCCAAATGTTAAAAGTAGATTGGCCTAATGAGATAATGAAACCAGAATTCTGCATATTATATTTTATGTTTCACTATTTATGTATATAGATAATTAATAAACTATATATACTCATTGGAAAAAAGAAAAAAAGTGAGCGCTCTCCAATCAGCAGCCAAAGCACATAAGGTAATCTCAGCAAACCTTCAGAAAATATACATAAATAAAGTGTGGCGCTTAATGAATAAAATAATAAAATAAATATTCACAGATGATCTGAAAAGCACAGTAAGGTATGGGACACAAACTATGATAAATAACGCAGAAAAAAAGGTGACTAATACATCAAGTGAAAAAACATAACAATGTCCAGACAAAATGTCGCAGGATCCTGTGTGTAAAAAGCTGGATATATCAGGATCAAATGGTAGAATTGCGCACTCACCGGACGCGCTAAGGATATGCGCATATGACAAACAGACCACCGGAAATCCCTCATCTAGTGGGGAGAGTAGATATCCATCTGGGCACAGATAATCCTGATGCTCCCTCTAATTGGTGTGTGGTAAGCAGTTTCCAGATCCAGGAGTCCACTCAGGGCTGATTAAACCTTTCCTTATAGGTATGGAACTCCCTCCGGTGGCAATAGTAGGCAATAGGGTATCCTGGAATTAGCTCCAAAAGGAGCCAAAAAAGTGCCTCATAGTGTAGTATTGTTTTAAAAAAACGAAAAATTTATTGTGTATATACAGCATAAAAACAGGGTGGAAACACTCAGGGAATAAAAGAGTGACTGACCCAAAAGTAAGATGGCCGCCGGGCCTCCTCGTGGCTCCGGGCGGCTAAGACGTCACGCTCTGTTGGCTCCTCCTAAGGCCTTTCGTGCCAGTGCACATCATCAGAGGGGAGGCCAACCAGAAAGGCATTAGGAGGAGCCAACAGAGCGTGACGTCTTAGCCGCCCGGAGCCACGAGGAGCCCGGCGGCCATCTTACTTTTGGGTCGGTCACTCTTTTATTCCCTGAGTGTTTCCACCCTGTTTTTATGCTGTATATACACAATAAATTTTTCGTTTTTAAAACAATACTAACACTATGAGGCACTTTTTTGGCTCCTGAGTGTTTCCACCCTGTTTTTAAAATGTATATACACAATAAATTTTTCGTTTTTTAAAACAATACTACACTATGAGGCACTTTTTTGGCTCCTTTTGGAGCTAATTCCAGGATACCCTATTGCCTACTATTGCCACCGGAGGGAGTTTTTATACCTATAAGGAAAGGTTTAATCAGCCCTGAGTGGACTCCTGGATCTGGAAACTGCTTACCACACACCAATTAGAGGAGCATCAGGATTATCTGTGCCCAGATGGATATCTACTCTCCCCACTACGATGAGGGATTTCCGGTGGTCTGTTTGTCATATGCGCAAAAAATCTTAGCGCGTCCACGGTGAGTGCGCAATTCTACCATTTGATCCTGATATATCCAGCTTTTTGTCACACAGGATCCTGCGACATTTTGTCTGGAAAATTGTTATGTTTTTTCACTTGATGTATTAGTCACCTTTTTTTCTGCGTTATTTATCATAGTTTGTGTCCCATACCTTACTGTGCTTTTCAGATCATCTGAATATTTATTTTATTATTTTATATATACTCATTGCTGTTCATTGTTGTGTATATCGCTCGTTGCTGTTCATTGTTGTGTATATCGCTCGTTCTGGCCAGAAGGGCGTGGCTACAAGGTCACACGCACACTGCATCACTTCCACTTGTATGGAAGATGTCAACACTACGTATTGCCCGACAAATGATTTTTTTAGATTGGTTAATGTGGGCCACGATTTCAACCAACATACGAATGCCTCTTGGTCGTCGGATGACCGATTGGTCGATTTTCTAATCGTGTAGTCCCACCTTAAGGCCTCTTTCATATGGGCAGCCAACGAATGGAAAGTAAAAACAGCTAGTTGAGCCAAGGTTATACCGCCCTTTCCTGACTGCCCACCTAAAGTCTACAATACAGCTGAAGAGTGCTGTTCACATGCCGGGGCCACAATGCTTTGTGTCGTGGCCACAGAAAATTTAGCATGGCAAGTTAAGTTGGGAAACTTCAAAACTGTCAACCTTGACCATTCAAGTTAATAGGCCCTGGTGGTTCAGAAAAAAAGAAAAAAAAAGCATTCAAGAGTTGTCAGTATTGCATTGCCTCCTGAACAACTATCAGTGGTTGCTTACCCACACTAAGAAAATAAATCTACCAAACAGAATAGACTAATGTGAACTTAGCCTGATACTGCCGGGGACATCAAGATCTATATTGACCACTGCTGGGGACACTGGGATCTGTATTAATCACTGCTGGGCACCCTGCGTTCTATATTGATCACTGCTGGAAACAATCTGTGCTATTCATTGCTGGGGATGCTGATATCTATTCTTGCCATTACTGGGTACACTGACATCTATGTTGGTCACTGCTGGGGACCCTGAGATCTATATTGATCACTGCTGGGGACTATGAGATCTATACAGGTCACTGCTGGGGCCACTGAGATCTATACTGCAAACTGCTGGGGACAGTAGGATCTATACTGGTCTCTGTTAGGGACACTGAGATCCATGCTGGTCATTGTTGGGGACACTGAGATCTATGCTGGCCACTGTTGGGGACTCTGATATCTTTACTGGTCACTGCTGGGGACACTAGCATCTATACTGGTCACTGCTGCTGGGGACACTGGGATCTATACTTGTCATTGCTGCTGAAGACACTAAGGTCTATACTGGTTACTTCTGCACAGGGGCGGACTGACAACTCATGGGGCTCCCGGGCAACAGGGGATCATGGGTCCCCTGTGTCCTTGCCCAAACTCAAAAAATCCTATGAAAAAGGTACCAGGGGCCTCTCATGGGGCCCCCTACTGACCCTGGGCCCTCAGGCAGTGCCCAAGTTTCCAAATGGTCAGTCCGCCCCTGCTTTTGCAGAACTAAGATTTATACTGGTTACTTCTGCAGAACTAAGATCTATACTAGTCACTGCTGGGGACACTAGCATCTATACTGGTCACTGCTGCTGGGGACACTGGGATCTATACTTGTCATTGCTGCTGAAGACACTAAGATCTATACTGGTTACTTCTGCAGAACTAAGATCTATACTGGTCACTGCTGATGGAGACACCGAGATCTATACTTTTAACTGCTGGGGACAATCAGCTCTACAATGGTCACTGCTGATGACACTAGAATCTATCCTGGTCACTGTTGGGGACACTAAGATCTGTACTGCTCACTGCTGGGGACATTAATATCTATATTGATCGCTGCTGGGGGTTACTAAAGTTGCACTTGCATTCTTTGAACTGCTCCAGAATCGTACAAGAATAGCCCATGGGTAAA